CTGCTGCCGTGTGTGCGCCAAGCAGCTGGGCGAGCTCTGCACCGAGCGCGACCCCTGCGACCACCACAAGGGTCTCTTCTGCGACTTCGGCTCCCCCGCCAACCGCCGCATCGGCGTCTGCACCGGTGAGTTGGGGGGCTGCTCAAGCCCCACAGTGTGATCGAGCGAGGGGTCCCTGTAGGGCCACTGCAGTGCCCACCGCACCTGCCTCACGCTGCCCTCCTGCTCTCCTAGCTCGGGACGGCGCTCCGTGCGTCTTCGGCGGCATGGTGTACCGCAGCGGCGAGTCCTTCCAGCGCAGCTGCAAGTACCAGTGCACCTGCCTGGACGGGGCGGTGGGCTGCGTGCCCCTCTGCAGCATGGACGTGCGCCTGCCCAGCCCCGACTGCCCCTACCCGCGGAGGGTGAAACTCCCCGGCAAGTGCTGCGAGGAGTGGGTGTGCGACGAGGCCAAGGAGCAGACTGCTGTGGGACCTGCGCTCGCTGGTGAGTGGGGGGCTCCTCCATGCATGAATTTCTCCAGAAAAGGGAGGAGGGTCCTCAGCAGGGCAGGAGTGCATATGGGGGTCTCATCCTGTGTGTCCTCTGCAGCTTACAGGCTGGAAGACACTTACGGTCCAGACCCAACGATGATGCGCGCCAACTGCCTGGTGCAGACCACTGAGTGGAGCGCTTGCTCCAAGACCTGCGGCATGGGCATCTCCACCAGGGTCACCAACGATAACGCTTTCTGCCGGCTGGAGAAGCAGAGCAGACTCTGCATGGTCAGACCTTGTGAAGCAGACCTGGAGGAGAACATCAAGGTAAGTTGTTTCATCTTTGAAGTATAGTCTACTAGGGCAAAGACTAGGACTAGTGTCCTACCAAAAAGAAATGTATGGTTCTGACAGGGGGTCTGTTTCAGTGGTTTACCTTGAAAATTAGTTTTGCCCCAGCAATTAATATTTAACAGTTAAGTGCCCTTAATTCTCTCACACAGTGTTACAGCACTGTGTAAAACAATTTGCTTGAGAGGAGAACTTAGTAAGATTTAGTGTGTCTGCCTGCTCTTAGCATGAAAACATAGTGCAGTGTCACAGCCTGTCTTCTAAATACATTGTATTTGCTTGCATCCTAACAGAAAGGCAAAAAGTGCATTCGCACACCCAAAATCTCCAAGCCCATCAAGTTTGAGCTGTCTGGCTGTACCAGCGTGAAGACCTACAGAGCTAAGTTCTGTGGTGTCTGCACTGACGGGCGCTGCTGCACCCCCCACAAGACAGCCACCCTCCCTGTGGAGTTCAAGTGCCCTGATGGGGAGATCATGAAGCGGAGAATGATGTTCATCAAGACCTGCGTGTGCCACTACAACTGCCCTGGAGACAACGACATCTTTGAGTCTCTCTACTACAGGAAGATGTATGGAGACATGGCATAAAGCCAGAAGGAGACGCTGACAAGATTCTAAACTTGAACTGATTTGCATCTCATTTTGTAAACACGATTCAATAGCACAAGGTATTTAAATCTGTTTTTAAGTTCAACAAACCTCTCCATGTGACTTAAGACTATTTGTCTACTGACCCCAAACGGTGGTTTGAAGAAGAAGGTAAAATGGACAGTGGGACCACAGCAAGACACAACTTCAGAACGTACTGTTCATGAGGTGGTGTGAAGGGGTTAAGGGAAGTGTGCAGGATGTTCCCTTAATGTGGTGCCATGTGTTTCACCTAGTAGTGCAATTGAGGAGACCGTTGGCATGTTTGCTGACATGGGTTTGGTGACAGCAAGGGCTGGAGTGCAAACTTTCACCCAGCAACATGCTACACCGAAGGTGTCCTGTTAGTCAGGACAGTAATGTTTCCGCTTTGACACTCTGATTCCTATGGCTTGGTCAACAAGAATCAGAATCATGTCTATTAGACTGGATGGCTTGTGACAGTTAATTTACCTGTAACAAGCTACTTTTAATTAATATTGTAAATACTGTGTGTATATATATTTGTACATTTATCTAAATTAATTTAAATTTTTGTGCCTTTGTTTAATGCTTTGATATTTTAATGATAGCCTTCTTTTTTTGGAACAAGATAGGTAGGATCTCAAGCTTGTTTGACAATGCATTCAAAGCATGAAATTGATACTCTAGTGGAAATTGTTCAGATGATAGCATGAAATGGTGAATTGAAATGAAGATGGAGATTTGTTAGAGTTGAGGTGTCTGTATCCCTACTGAGCACCCGTCTGTCTGGAAAAATACATTTACCTCAGCTTTAACAAACACGTGGCTTAAGGGAAAATAGCTCTCTTGTCGCTGATTGGTCTTTCCACTCAAGAGCATTTGTTTCTTTCTTTGACTATGGCTATTCATTGGACAGTTTATGTGTTGAAAAGTGTGACCAAAAGTTACGTTTGCACCTTTTTAGTTGAAAATAAAGTATTTATATTTTTTATACAAATGACTTGGCATTTCATTTATCTTTAATCCTCGCTGTTACCTGTCTTGCTTCTCAAAGGGGGTTGCTTTGCACTAGCCAAACTTGGCAAGTATTACTTGGTTTCCTTGTCCAGCAGCACATACACTCAGATGTAAACTTGGAGATTCAAGGTCACCAAATACTTCTGTTAATATCAAGCCAGCTAGAGTTTATTACTGTTCTGAATTTTGAAAGGGGAGCAAGGCAAGCCGTGTTTTGTCAAGCACAATATTGCATTAAAAAATGCAGCAGATTTCTTGCACGATTACACGTGGTGGCTTTTAACTGAGCTGGTCTGTTACCATAATATTTCAGCTCATTCTATAATACTCCATGCTATGCACTTAACATAACTGAATTGTTTCATTGGTAAAGACTTGTTTTAGGTGAGTCAAGGAAAATGGCTTTTAAAGTAGCTGAGCTGAAGTGTTCCAGGCTTTAGTGTCAAATCCAAAAGTCCAAACTTGGGTAAAATTCTCACTAAAGATATGATGAGTTTTACTACAGAATAAATAGGTTGGAAGAGGCCTTCTGAGGTCTTCTGGTATAAACTCCTCTCAGAGCAGGGCCAGCTTAGGCCTGATTTTACTTCAACGAAGACCCTAGGATGGTATGGTAGACAGAGCACTGAACTCGGATGCTAAATTCCTGTATCATTGCCCTACTTGTTGACTGGGAGAAAATCACTGTACCTTTCTGTTTTAGTTCTGTGTAAAATGTACCTTATCTATCTTTTGACTCTTGCAGAGCCACTTGTGTGGCCAACAGATGAAAGGCACTGTAAGAGCTACACATTTTGATAACAGTCCAAATGTTCTTCTCAAATATAAAAAACAATGTAAGGACACTCACAAAACAGTGTAAGGACAGGTATGAGTCACCTTCCCCCATTCCATAAAAGGGAAACATCAGGGCTGGGCTCAGTCCTGCGTGCATAACAGACTTTCTTTTCCCCTCTATTAAGACTTGGGATTTCTTTGAATTTAAAGTTAGCTTTAGCACTAAAAGTGTAAGCTCTTGCTTTCAGATAAAACACATTGTGTCCAGCAAAAATCCTTTACCAGCAAACAAGCTCAATCCCACATTTTCTGGTGGTGAAAGAGAGTTAGACTATGAAAGTGTGCATCCTCCCTGAGGACCTTCCAACCCCGCACAGCAGATCAGTATAACACCAGCTTTGACTTATGACAGACAACAGAGACCTGAGTTAATGGGATGTCAGTAACCTCACCAGACTGTGGACAGGACCATAGAAGCATTTCCCCTTCCTCTCAAAAATATGAGGAATTCTCCTGGCATGAGGAAGTGGTTTTTTGTGTCCATATGGAATAATTTTGGGTAGCCTCTGGCTCTAACACTCCCTAAGACTCTCCAGGGTTTTCTTTTTCTCTCTCTTTTTTTTTTTCTTTTTTTTTCCTTTCAGGTTATGAATATGATGCAGACATTTGGTTCACTTTGGAAACACTTCAAACATACATTTGTACAGCCGTGAGAACTGGTTGTCCAGCTGCTCCTGTCTGACTCCCAGGTAATAAGAGAACTGTCGCCTCTCGTTCCAGTAAGGACAGGATATACACGGGCTTCATTCATATCCACCACTGCAAGAGGTCTCGTGGAAAGAGGCAAAATCTAGTGGGGTTACCAAATTGGTATCAGACTTTATAACAAATGGCCATTTCCTGTAACATCAACCTCTAGTGTCTTCTGAACTGTTCATGGAGCACACATGGCATTTGCTCCCAGTGCCCTGTAGTGTGGCCTGTATGTCACATATCCAAGGTGCACAGTATTACGGTGCTGGGTGGTAGTGCCTGGCATACAAGGCCACATTGATGCAGAGAAGCAGCAGTTCAGGGAGGACCATCTGTGATTAAGGATGACCATGGAAGGAGTCCCCAAAACAGCAGATAATGCCTGATAATGCGATGATGCAGACAGTTTGCCTGCTGTGAGACATTTTTTTGCACTGCTTCACAGACTGGAAAAGAAGAGACTTAAGCAGCTTGCTATCAGCATGTTTTGATGGTAGTTTGCTCTTACCACTGTGAACTAAAATAAGGAAGTACACTGCATATGCAAATCTGTCAAGTTGCTGCGCTACCATGAGCATATCAAGGATCATAAATCTCAGGTATCACTGCAACATAATAATTTGCAGTCCTCTTTTCCAAGAACACATGCACTTCTGTGGCAGAGGCATGTGTTTTATCCCACCTCACAGGACACCACACCTCTGAAGGTTTTATCTCTGAAGGTCAAGAGATGTTTAACCTTACTTTTCGTAAGGTTAAACAGAAATGTAAGTGTGCATCATACAGCCTATAAGCCTTTCTTTCAAAAGCATTCTGGGAAAAGTGACACCTCATGTGGCATCTGTGGCATCTTAAATGATGGGTAAAATGTGGATCTTTCAATGAGAAAGATGTTTCCTGCTATCATTTTTCATGCCTGAGATAGATGGCAGATTAAAAACTTACTTCAAAAGGCCCAAATCACTTTCACAGGAGAGGACATTGGCTCACATTTCTTCCAAAATGCCTTGTTTTGGAAATTTGCATCCTCAGAATATTCTGTCACAGGGGTTTGCTATTATACTTGTAAACACTTTATTTATATATGGAAGTGTATTCATTCAAATGACTATCATCTCCTTAAAATGGATCTACAGTAGGCAGAGCACCACTGTATACTTGACACTTGTTTAATTAGTGATACTCAGTTGATCATTAAACAGGAATTCTAGGTGGCTGGAGAACACAGCATCAAATAATTTGTGAAATAACTCTAAGCTGTCATATTTCAGAATTTTGCACTATAATACATTTACATGGATTTGTAGCTTAGCTTTCTAACACAATACAGATGTGAACAACAGACATGGATTATGGCTCTTTCATATGAAACAGGCTCTAGTCTCCAAATGGAAATTTGTCAGATTCCTCAGAGCTAAGAAACATCCCAAAAGACACTAGTTAAGAAACTCCTCAAGAATGAGCCACTTTTAATGATCTGTAACCACACAGGAACAAATAATTCTTTGAACAGTATCCAGTTACTTGTCTCACAAAGACAGAGACTCAGCTGAGAAAACTGGCTCTTGGACACATCACTAGAAATAGCACACAATATAACCAGATCATTTGTATTTTCTCATGTAACATAGCTTTTTCAGATGTTGCCCTTGAAGAAAGCACCCCTCACTGCTGAAATGACATTAGAAGTATGAAGGAACAGTAGTATTCTTACCGAAACATATAATAATTCAACCATCCTGACTTTGCATCCTACCACCAAAATCCTAAGTTCTTTAAAAACACTGCTTAAATGTGGCTATAACTGATGTTACACTATGTCTACATATGGAAGTAGTTAGCAAGGAGAAGTTGGGATGAAATACCAGTGCAAGGCTTTGCCCCAAAACCAAGAAGAATCTGAGAGAGGAAGTAGCTCAGTTAACTTATTTTTCCTCTCATTTTCCACTTTTTTTTCCTCCCTGCAGTTCCTTTGATTCATGCCCATAAATGGACATACCCCAAACCACCACATTCTCACAGTGTTTTTCAGCCTCACTGGAACCAGGAAATACCAGGAATTTCTTCAAAGAACCTGTTCCCAAACTGTACTGAAGCCTTCAACACATTTAAAGTTTGAACAGATTTTGGGAACATGACTAAGGTTGCTGCTCTGCAGGATGACTGTGTGTGGCTCCCATAGCAAACAGCAACCATTACTGCTGGTCCTGGCCATTTCAGCTGCTCTCCTCAGTTCGAGCCCACACCCCCAGAGCAACCAATTCAGAGACTTTCTGAAAAGTCCCTCAGGGAGCATATTTTGGCTGTTTGTTATGACAGGATCCTTCAACTCCTACCCATTACTGAGACAGAGCCAAATGCAGGAGTATTTACTCTTGCTTAATGTTAAGTAAATCCTAATGGCAGTAGCCACAGTGTTTATGCTGCTAGGGACAAAGCATTTTACAGCCTTGCTGGTAGGACCAAGGCATTTCTAACACATCCTGTGGTGTAAACACAACTCAGTGGGGCTCCAGGCACCCCCTGGCCAAATTAGCTGGATCACCGAAAGTAACGCACCATCCAGGAGAAGCACGTTGCATGAAATACATCCTATTAAAACCAGGGATTTTACAACTTTCAGCAGC